ATAAAGTTTGGGGAAAGATAATTCTGCCTTCAGAGCAACTCTTCGTATTTTGCAAATAAACACCAGACCTCAGATTACATACTGTTTTAATAGCACATACAGTGATACCTCACTGAGTGAGCGCGATCCACTAACACTGAGTCCTGTAGAAAAAGGGGGAAGAGAGGACAATTAGTGTTTCACACTGCACATGTACCAGAGGATGCTGCATGGCCAATCTTAGTTCTGAAACTTCCCAACTTCTGAATGCTTTTTTGGCAGCCTTATTTGCATGTAATATACACACAATTATTTTGGAAACAGATGAACAGTGTAGCTCTAACTTGCTCTTCTTCCATGACAATTAACCAACATGTAACATGCATCTTATTTCTGGCACATAAACAACAAATACTTTTTTTCCTGAGATGAAAACTAATCTTCTTCTATGAGCTAATTTCCAAGCTGATGGATACAGTTTTACTGCAAGGTTGCAAGAAAGGTCTATCATTCTGAGATTCAGACACCATAACCCATTTTTGAAGGAACCTACAATGCTACTCTAAAGAACTAAGGAAAAATAATTCCTAAAAACTGAGATAATGCCACCCAGTGTTTATGTAACAGTCAATCATTCACTGCCATAATAAGGATTTTTTTGGACAAGCACTGAATAATCCCTGTGCCACATTGCAGAAGCTAGAATAGACTACCTTGGTTTGTAAGGCTAGACATGGAATAAGGCAACCAGGACATTTGGGATCAACTTCTTTCCTCTGCTTCCTCAGTTTGGCTGTATAGAAAAGTACTTGAAGAGTCTTGGCTTAAAGATCAGTCTCTGAACTGTAACACAGCTGACTAGCCCATTGATTCAATTCACCTCCCAGAAGGCTTACCGACAGAACATGGTCAGCAGCATATCTAGGATGGACTTGTCCATTGCCATAACTTCTGGCCACCAAGATCAGTTAAACAAGTTAGCCAGTGCAGAAGGAATTTCAGTCTTTGTGTAGGGACTGGCTGGCTACTAATTAATCCATGTGGGCTCAACTGAGGAAGTTACACTGTGATAGATGCTACTTAAAGAGAAAACATAAGAGTTATTACACCTTAGATAACCAATTTACAGCTACAAATCACATGTACTTTAGTGCAGCAAAGGCCCACAAATTAAAACTATTAACTGTGAAATTACTGAGAAACATGATTGCTTAAAACTGCAAAATAACATTCTTATGAGCAAAGTGCCTTTAGCCCAGAGAGGTAACAAAGGTCTGCCCTGGACCCCCATGGCAGCATATAGAGAAAGCAAAACCAGGAGGACATTCAAACACAGCATCTAGAAACACAGATACACTATTCATTTGCACTACTGGAGCTTAAACACATAAAAAAAGTGATTTGCTAAGAAAACATGGCAGAAGATAATCAATAAGAACACACGAGGCAATGTGTATGTGACTGGTAAACAAATTGGTATGTAAAGGAAGTCACAGTTTAGATACAAGATGCAGGACCTTTGGACCCAACAGCACACCACCTGTATGGTACTACATTGCTACACTTGTCACTTACAATACTGTCCCAAATAAGAAGGTCTGTCTCATAAACCCACTGCATAGCTACTACGTATACTACAGTCAACTGAATTTGGTCCCTGAAAGAGACAGGATTAGAATGACTCAGTTAATCATGATCAGTGGATGAGCAAGTGCACCTTAAATTATCAGTAGAGAGGCAGGGTTGCTGGTGTGCTGATACTCCAACATGTTAATAGCAGCCAGCAGGACTTAAAGTATTGCTTCACATTGTAATTATCTCATTCTATTGCAAGCTGCCACTGAAAAAGTCAGTCTCATTCCTTCTTTTCCCTCTGTTTCCCCACTGCTCACTCCTAACGTGTCTCTTGCATCAGATCAAGCCACTGTGCTGCCATAATAAGTCTCGAGCTAGCTCACGAGGAGGTGGGGAGGATAGACTAGAGAGGAAAACGTTCCCCCATCAGATCATCAAGCTTATTCAAGATCACCCTGCAGCCACACAATCACTGCATCCAAGGCACGGAAAAGGCAGAAACACATCATCCAGGTTGGAGGGTAACAGTGGAATTGCTCTTTTCGGCAGCAACCCACAGTTTGACTGTATAAGATACACGTACCTCCCAAATCAGTCTCTGAGAAAAGCAGACAAAACTAAATATACAGCCTTGTTGCCTTGGACTGATGAACACTACACCTCAGATGAGCTAACAGGCATCATAGGCTTGCTCCAGTGCTGATCTGCCTGGCACACTAGAAAACTCCAGGGCAGAATTCCAGAGGTTGATTTAACTTCAAAGTAGTGGCTTGGGCCTCTTGGACAAGAATCTGCTCTCGTCAAGCCAAAAACCTCTCTATATGAACAGACACTAGAAAGTTTCCTTAACTTTGAATTCTGCTTCCCTCATTTTTGGTCCATTAGAGCAAAGCCCAGTATTGTTCACTTTCTAGACAACAAAGCTTTTGAAGTAGAGGAAAAACAGATACAGAAAAAGATCAGTAAATTCTTAGTTTTAGAAATAAACAACAAGGGCAAATGCATAGTAATGTCTCCTCCCCAAATATAAGGGGACATCCACCTTTTCCTATGACTTATTTTGATATGATGATCCTAATGACCATTATATTAAAGTAAGGGTTCTTACTTCAACTCTCTCTTCCTCAGTTTCTTTTCCTTACATATGGAGAAGCAGGAAGTAAACTTTTCCTTGGCCCAGTCAGTCTTCATTTGACAACTTAGGAAAATTACAGAACACATAACCCTTTGTGTCTGGGCCTATTCAATAAACATCCTGACAAAAAAAGAATCAATTCCCTCCTCACTTCCAAGTGAAGACATTTCTTTTTTTTCTTGTGAAAAGCACAGCGAAACCACTTCTTGTTTCCATTAAAAAAAAAAAAATTAAGGTCACCAACAGAATGCTGAAGTACTTTAAGCTGCCTCATTCCAGTAACACAGTCACAAGCTTTCCATCACATGGTAATCTGGGTGATCAGGTCACTGTTCCACAAAGAGCAAGAGAATTCAAACAAGTCCAAAGCTTCTACTTCCAAAACTTGCAAGACGTAGGCATGGCAAGTGAGAAATGGAGGAGTTTACTTCACTTTTTTTGTTATATGCACCAGAACCCCCCCATCCTAAGCCAGAATAAAAGTTCTATCTAGCCTGGTAGGCTGTCTTCATCAGTGGCCTACAGTAGGTACCTAGGGAAGAATGTAAGCACACGTCAAGTAACCAGTGATAGTTGTCTGCTTCACCTTCACAGAGATCTGAAGCACATGGATTTCCTGCTCCAGCCATTAAATATTTGTGTTCAGCCACAGTCATTTTTTTCTGGCCCTATTCAATTACCTTTTGAAAACAAACTCTTAGCATCTATAAGATCTTCTATAAGCTATACAGTGGACCTCATCATCATGCGTAGAGAAAAACATTTTGCTTTGGATCTACTAACACAAGTGATCCCTTGTTTTGTAATAAACAGCGCATAACCATATCTTACTCACTTTCTTTGTGCTACTCATGATTTTCAAAACCTTCCACCATGTCTCTCCCTCCAGGTACCTCTTCTCAACACAGAAGTATCCTAATCCATTTAGAATCTCCTTCTAGAGAAGTATTCTTTACTTCTGATCATCCTTGTCACCTTTCTCTAACTTCCATAGTTCTGTTACGTCCTTACTAATGTAAACTTTGGCAACCCCTTTACTTGTTCAATTATTTCTAAACATTAAGCTGAAGTGCTCATGAACCTGTATATAAAGACTTTGCCTCCCCCACCAAGCCAAATGTATCTCTTCGCATTTACTTACGCTTATTTGCTCAGACACTCAGTATCACAAACCCTTTCAAGTCTTTCCCTGTTTTTACTACTAGGAATACAATCTCTCTAAATCCTGTTTTAAATAGGACTTTTTTTTTTTTTTAAATTCTGGACTAGCTTGCACCATTTCTTATTGGAGCTACTGACTCTTCTCCTAACCCTTGGATAATATACAAGTGTAAGGAGAGCAGTTCTAAAGGTTGCAGGAACTCCAGCAATCTCCCATTGTTTTTGGCTTCTCTCCAGTCATCAGTTCAACATTACAGCAGCCCTGATGCAAGCCACCTTTCCCAAAGAGGCTCCCTCTAGTCTGGACATCACCCCCACTTCCTAATAAATCTAATTCCATTTTCGCTTACATCTTATTTTCTAAGCCTAAAGATTGTTTCTCTCTCCTTCTCTTTCCCTCTCTGCTCCCAGGTACAGCGCAAGGAACATTTCAGGGCGTGCTTACAAAACGTAAAGAGCTAGCAAGTAGAGGGTCATCTCACAGTACTTGTTGGTAAAATGAATACCTTCTGTTACAGCCCACTACTGAAAACAATGGACTCAGAAGAACTAAAGATTATTCGACATCTACAAGAAAACATTTTTCACAGAAACTGTTTCTTAAGTAGAACTAACAAAGCCTTTTTCCTACAGGTTTGCATCCTCCTCTACATTACCGCTGTTATAAGCCCGTTAAGACTCTTCCATACAACCCTCCATTTTGGTTCCATCTTACATTCCTTAATTGGCATCTCTTCCCCTTCTCATTCCTTGAGTAATGCCAATTACTTCTCATGCTCCCCAATTACTGAGTGGGAGCAAGACAATTCTATGCCTGTTTTCAAACCATGCATGTATTAAGTGGCCTGTTGACAGACTGTGAAGTGGAAGGGGTAGGGGGAAGAAGCCACACAGTTTTGCCTTGTACAAAGCAGTAATTTTCAAGAAACTTCCAAGATCTTCATATTTCAAAATGCATTTGCTTCTGCTGCTGATCACTCCACAGAGGAATGGACAAACAGCTAATCAGAGCAACTGCATGAGCTTGTTTCCTGAAGAACCAAGGCATCAGCCAAGATCTTGCCTCGTAACTCTGACTTTTATTCTGGCTTCTAGTCGTAATTCACAGTTTAATTTTAGTAAGTGTTATATATTTTTTGAAAAAACTCACCGTTTTATTACGAAGTCTAATTATGTCCGAAACAGAGCCAGCTCCACAATATTCCATAACAATCCATAGATCTGTGTTCTTAAAATAGCTGCCATAGTACTTGACAACATAGGGACTAGATGGAAAAAAAAGTTAGATAAATAGATGAACTCTTAGTAGGGGAAAAAAAAAAATCATCATCACAAGTGTTGTTAAAAATTACAGTTTGACACACACTAACACAGCTAAAGAGCAACTGTAATCAAATACATTTTAAAACTGTAATCAGCTTAACCGCTGCCTTGTTAGAATGAAGTCTGACTGCTTAATAAAATTATAAAGGCACTACTATATATATCACAAGCTTTCAGTGATCTTCAAATACAGACATAGTTTTCCCAAACATTAGTCTTCTGATATAAAGCTTTGTTTTTCCCTCCTCTAAGGCCTCTCAATTTTTAACTGTCCTCAAAGTTATTGGATGTTTCCCTTCTTGAAAAGATTGCCTTTTCTTCACTCCTGAGCAAAAAACCATGGAAACTCACCCATGTTTTCCTGGTTTTGCAAGCATGAACTTACTTCAAGTACAGATCTAGACTTCCATATGAAACAGAATCTAGTGTTGGTTTGAACAAGACTTCTGGATTTGCAAATGCATTTTCATATTGAAGTGTCTCATGTGAAGAGATAGTACTGTCATAAACAGCACATAGTGCTTTGCTACTCATCAGTTTGTCACTTGACATAATGCTTCCTCGGAGGTACTTGCAAAAGAAAGGCAGACAGATGAAGTAAACATAACAAGGATCTTCCTTCAGAAAAGTGATTAGATGGTGTATTTATGGAAATAAAAGGTTGGAGGTTTTTTGCAGGAACTTAAGCAAAGGAGGTTACAGTTAGATTGCCATCCATCTCCCACAAAGTCAGGAAGTAAGATACTGAGAACTCAGACAGTGGCTTCTGGTCAGAACACCTGCATTGTGGGGTGGAATCAAACACTATTTTGTTCTGGAGCAAGGAATTGTTTTAGGAACAGCATGTTTGGCAGCAACATTTTTTGTTAGAAAACTGATATAAGAAAAAGACCTATGGTTGCCTCCTGCAACATGATGCTATCTTTATAAAAGATAGGTCAAAACCATCAGTAAACTACTTCATTAAAGAGCGACTGTTAGTACTATAGGAACTTGCCTTTACAGAAGGCAAGGTGGGTCAATTCCCTCCTAACTAGTCAAAAATGCCTACCAATCAAGTTACGACATACTGATCTTGCCCCTATAAATTCCTGAAGTGAGGAAGGTTACTATTACTTCTGAAGAAAACCCACTAATTTTCATGACCATCTCTCGCTAGATTTACACTATGCTAGTATTCCCAGCAAAAATTGTGTGTATTATTACAAATCAGGACAAGATAATCTTTTCAAAAACATCAAGTGCTGTGCAATCTCAAAACACTGTTCACGTTTGCTTAAAGCCTTGTCCCAGTTAACTACATGGGCCAGCCTTTTCCATATCAACTGCTTATCTTAGAATCTACATTTTTCCCCTTAGGAGAGCTTCAGCACATACAGTGTAGCTAGTTCTAGAAACAGACATTGAGAAGAAATAAAGGGTAAAGTGTTAAGATTTAATCATCTTTTATTTGAGATCCGGCAACAGCTCAGTGCTTTTCTGTAATATCTGTGGATTCATCACATGTGAAAATAAAGTACTAAAAAGTGCATCATCCCTCCCATCAGTACTGCACAGCACTGTATTTGCACAAAGGCACATGACACATACACAAGCACACGGTGAGGAGCTGCAGTCAACCCTTCTTTTTGACCAGAGAATGGCTGCATCTTGTCCAGTGAAGGAAGAGTTTATGTTCTAAAATTCCAAACTCTTACTCTTAAAAAAAAAAAGTTATACACTAGTACATGTCCAGTAAATACTAAATGCACCATGCTGTTCAAAGAAAAGCAGGAAACAAAGAACAAGGGCAGAGAAAAGGGGGGCAGAACAGGGGACATAGGAATAAGACAGTGAGTAGGCCCACCTAGGACAAGGATGAAAACAGCACAAGAAGCATAGTACAGAAAGGTGAAAAATTTAGAAGATTCTCAAGTATCACCACTTCTTTTCTTTGCCAGTATGTTTCACAGACATTTATTTTAAGTATCTATTTCAATCCTCATCCAGTACTAACAGACATACACACACAACCTACACCACTGTTTCCAGTCAGCTCACATGGCTCAAGCCTGTGCAGCAACTAAGGGCTGCTATCCTATCACTGACCCCATAGAAGAACTCTTTCTGAGAATTCATGAGCTGCTATCTTCCAACTTACTCAATGTCTTCCTTTATGTAAGGCAAAAGAAATTAAGCAGGGGAGATAAAAAGAATTAAGAGCACAGCAACAAGATGAATCAAAGTAAACATATTTTAACTCCTCTTCCAGTGCACAGGAAGAGCTAAGGACCTACTCTGGGGATCAAATCTAGTTCCATTAAATTAAGTAGACAAACAAGATTGCTGCTTCCTTTTTAATCTGTACCTGTTACAAAACTCCAACTGGCCAGACAGACAGAAACAGTCTCACAGGGATGAAAAGGATTAAGAGGAGCCCCAACAAAACTCAAGGGTCCCAAATTGTTTTATTATCCCCTGAAATAACCTTATCACACACATCTTCGTGGATGTGGGAAAAAACATAAATCCTTCCTTTTCCTCCCATTCCCCTGCCTGCACATTTAACAAGTTTCTAGTGTTCGGAGCAGTCAGTGCCAGAAGGGAACGGATTACAAGGTCCATTGTGTTCATAGGTCACAAATACTCAGATCAGGGCTTGCAGGCAGAAGTTCTAAAGAAGTTTGAAGAACAGTTGCATTCTCATGTGCTAGATATAATGTACTCTGAGGTCTCTATCCCTATATTTAAGGATAAATATTTGAACCTTCTCTCCTCCTTCATGACCCCGTAGACAAGATGCTCTGGAGCAGTACAATCAAGCTCCATGTAACACCTGAGCAAAACATTCAGCAACAAATCTTAATGAATTCAGACTGCATTAAAAAGATTATCTTTAAATCTGGGATGAGTACTGCTCATTGCGAAACAAGAGCAAATTTTTCATTTAAAGACAGAACTTCAACATTAACACACCACAAAAGCACAAACACAATTGAGAAATAACAGACCACTTGCTATAATAGAATTCACCAAGTTAATGACTACAGCAATCAATATTTTAAAGAAAGTTTCTCCTAACTAGAATGCAAAGCCTTCCTGTTTGCATTTCGAGTCGCAAACAATATACTCTTGTACCACTGATCAGACTTGAATAAAGACTCACCCTAGCACATGTGACTTAGAAGTTACAGCCAAAACCTTAAAAGATTATTCCCAAAAAAATATACAAATAAAAAACTGACAGCTCCACAGAAGAGAAGAAACACAAAGTAATTTCTGCATCCTTGCAGACACTTGATGTAAAGGCTTCCATTCCTACAATACTAGCAATCATAAGATATAACATTTGCGAACAAGGATAACAGTCCTTCTTCCTATTAGAAGATTGTTCACTTTTTTTAAAAGTATGTTCCTACATGAAACAGGCAACCAATAGACTACTATTTTGGAAGTTAACTGCTAGCCATTAATCTTGTGCTAAAAACATCTTTATCGATCTTCTGAAATGGGTTAACTCGGAATTCACAAGGCCTAAGACATTTACAGGAAATATGAACCTTCGAGCTTGCCAGTGCAAGTAAAGTGAAGCAAGCGTGGAGAATTCTAAGCAGAGGCAAGTACTTACTCTTTCAACAGTTCCTGTTACGTACACTATGTGTACTTCCTTCAATCCAAGCTAAGGATAGGAGGAGGTCCACAAAGTGATTCCTTTAAGTAAATTGTCCAACACAGACTGCTTTAATTTTCCATCTTAAAAAAAAGTTTGCAGCTGCATATGTTTCAGCTGTATTCCCAAGTATAAATACAGTTTCACATAGACTCTTAAAAAGGGAGAATTGTCACACCTACCTGTCACACTGTTGCATTATAGAGATTTCTTTAATTATTTCTTGAAGATCTGACTCCACGGGGACCTGTTTAATTGCTACAACTTGTCCAGACTCTTTGTGTATTGCTTTAAACACGCTACCATAAGACCTAAAAATAAGAGAGGACATTTTTTTTTTTTTTTTTAAACAAGATAAACTGCTTCTCATTTCCATTATGGTGAAACTTTAAAAAGTCACAGAAGCCATATGTTCATGCAGAAGTTTGAGGGTTTTTTCAGGCTACAAGAAATTCAGTTCTATCAGGAACTCAGGAAAGACGTGCCTCTGAAGAATGAATCTTTGTCAAGATGTAGTGTATCTAACTCCAGTACAGGCACAACCACCTTTGCTGCCTTAATGAACAATGGACATTAAAAAAATGCATAAATATATTTGGGGAAGCATGGAAGTCTACTGATGCATGCATTTGCTTTTTTAGTAAAGCTTGTCTAGAGAAGCATTCCTTAGGACATTTACAGTCACTCTCCCTGTAACTTAATATTCCAACACATGCTTTATATACTGTTTCCCTCTGATCCCATCCCCTCATAAATAGCTGAACTTACCCTTCACCAAGTTTCTCCAGAACATCAAAGACTTCTTCAGGCTGCTTAGTTAAACTATCTTCACTTAGCTTTTTCAGTTTGCTAAAAGAAAGACAAAAGTTATTTGTTTGTTTGAGGGGGAACAGACACAGAACTCAAGCAAATTTTCATACAAGTGAGCAGACAGAAAAAAAGATTATAAAGAAAAACATATTTCAATGAAAATAAAATGCCTAAAGTGCAGTAATAAAATTTTAATCAACGATCATATAAGATGTAGAAAGTTATAACAATTTTTGTCATTACCACTTTCCCACTGATGTTTGCTCAATTCAAAGCAGCATGGAACCAATTCACTGTCCAAACCACTTCCTTTGCTAAAGTAGAAACAGCCAAAGAATACAGTAAAGCTCACCTTTCGTCAAAAAGCAGCCAGCATGCAAACACATGCTCATTACTGCCTAGAGTACGCTATGTTGTTATCTGAGAAAGTATAAACCAATCCTTCACTCACATGAAGTACCCACTTTCTAAACTATACCACTCATAAGCCAGTGAATTACATCAAGTTAAAAGCAGAACCCAGAGTCAAGATGACTCTGGGAGCATATCATAGCACTTGACCCTCACAGGTGGTAGCAGAACACTGAGCTTCCAAGAGTTGAGTACTCTAAGAGCTGTTGGGGCAGTCCCTTTTGAATCTTTGTGATTGTACATAGGGACAGGCGCAACAAAATCTCCAAGTACATAACACCACCACAGTTTGCCCTCCCGTTCTCTGTCATACAGTCCCAAATCACTCAGTATCACCCTACAATTTCTCCCAGCACCTTCAACCCACTCTTACCACTACCCTTTGTCCTTTACAAGCAGTCCTAGCCTTTCCCTGGTCTCCAGCATTCCCATCCATCCAGCCCCCCAGACTCCTGGCAGATCTCAGAACACAACTTGGCTGCAAGCTTGCAATGGAGCTGACACTGAACATAGCACAGGAAAATATAACCACACACACATTGCGGTGAGGCCGGGTGGCTGCAACATGTAAATCCTTCACCCTAAAAGTTAAAGGGAATTTTGCTGCAAGATTGAAATAACAAGTTAACTCTGTATGATAGCCAAGGGTACTATTAAAGTAGAAGATGAGCTGAAGAATAGCTGGTGCTGTAGTGTTCGATATAGACAATGTATTCCATATGCAGGAGGAGGAAAAAGGGAAGAAAAAAAAGAAACTTTGAAGCACAGCAGATCATTGAGAACTTATGGAAAATATGTTATCCTGTGACACTTTCCTGGAAATGAATACAAAATAGGGGAAGGGAGGAGGGCACAGACAGAAAAGATTGTCAAATCTAACATTCAAAGAACAGTGTTCAAAAGAAACTCCTTCATATTAAGAGATGCAATTCTGTGATATACAGAACTAATAAAAAAATACAGTGAAATGACTGAAGGAATTCCTGAGTCAGAAGAGACTTGTTACTGCCAACCACCTAAGTAAAGACAAAAATTTAAAGTAATTGTATAAGCACACAGGTCATATGGATTGGCGTTAAACAAGGAAAGCAAGGGAGGCAGGAGGGTGTACACATTTATATATCAAAGAACTATTTCACAGATGTAGCAATTATATGAATACAAAAAGCATCCACAATCAGTAAGGAAAGGTGCATGAACTGCTGTAAAGACCATGCAGTTTGCTACAGTGAACAGGCAGGAAGCTGGAAAGCATGTGCGTTTAAGGGAGAATAAAAATCTTCACAGCAAAGGAAAGGCACAACTCACGAACACGAAGGAAAACAGCAGAAAACTCAAATGAGGGCAGCTAAATAAAGTCTGCAAAAGTGATCTACAAATCAAACACAGGAACACATAACAACTCTGCTTTCTTTTTCGCCCTCTCTCTGCTTGTTAGGGACTAGAAAGCAGAAAGATGGAACTTAAATCTTGCAGGGAAGCACATATTTCATTACTGAACAAGTGTAAGTTGAGACAAATAAAAAGAAGAGGGGAAAAAAAAAGATTTTGCAGGTAGGTATTAAAGAAATAAATCATTCATTTTCCTTCTTTTGTTTCAAATTCTTTTTTCCCCCTCTGATCAGGTTATCTGCAGTCTTAAAGGCAGCGTTCACAGAATAAGTTACTGCAATCATCCTCTGCTTGCCACCAACAAAAAGCATGCACAGTATGCTTATGATACCAGCAGAGACTCAAAAAATAAAAAGCATGACCATTAGCTGAGTCTCTCACTTGATCAAAGAGCTGTGGAGGGACTGAACCTTTTAGTAACTGCAAGAAAAGAGAAAACATACAGTAACTTCAACCAAAGATGTCTAAGAAGATAACACTTTCACCTGCTCATCAAAAGAGTAATGCCTGCTAAAATGAGAAGGCGAAGAAAAAAAAAAAATCCATACCAAAAGGATTCCAGCAGCATCATTAACGCCAAGGCATTGCGAGTGCTTGAGAAGAACTAGGGAAACTATCACAAACAGCCATAAACTGATCAAAACTAATGTCACTGTCAAATAACAGATTATCTGGAGTACTTAAGAGGCAACCTGGAGACCAAAGAAATAGGCATTCTGTAGTTTTAAAACTATTTTCACATTATCCAACTCTGACAAACGTGTTATGAGACCAAATAATACTTAACACTAAGGCAGCTAAATAATAAACCTACTTAGAGGAAGAAAGATACATCAACCTCAGGAATTTCATCACCAAATACACTGCTCAAAGTACGTCACGCTCCTTCATAAATATACTGTAAGAGTACAGATGCTAGGTCCAGTGTTCAAGTGACAGTATTAACACCACAGCTCTTTGAACCATAGAAAGATCCTAATGACTCAGACTGTTTAATCATTTCTATTTCTGGAAGTTTAATATAATTCCCAGCTCTACCTACAGAACAGCATGCAATATACCCTGAAAGGGTTGCAATAAAGAAAGTGTTTGTGAAAACTTCATGAGAAGCAAGGAGGAGGAAGACAACTGTTGTAACTGGCTGTAAAGCACTAAGTAGAATACAAGAAAAGACCAGAAATATTATCTTATTATACTGGTTAAAAACAAGCAACTAAAACTTGGTACAGAGGAACACACCTAAGACTTCAGAATCAGCTTCTTAATCACGAGTTGTTTGTGCGTGTGTGTGTGTCCCCTACTATCCACACTCTGAAAACATGCAAGATAAGACATATAGAGCCAACCATTTCAGAATGATCACTGCTTTTTTAAAAGCATTAAAGTGTTCTATATGGGAAGTGAATACTATGAGCACCCAGCAAAATACCTATCTGCTAAGGCATGACTAGAAATACAAAGGGGTGGGGGGGAGGCACAACTGAAGAGACAAAGGGCTCAATAACAATCAGAGAGAAAGATGGTGTCTCATTCCTCTCCCTCATGGGTCCTCTACTTTCATAACACATGCATTAAAACAGAACAAATAAATCAGTAAATTCAGGTACTGTTCTATTCGGGCCACAAGATGCAAGTGCCATATCTATATATATATATATGTGTGTGTGTGTGTGTGTATATATGTATCTGTGAGAAAGTCCAAAGGAGATGTGTAGAAGACAAGTATAAAACTTGGGGAGAAAGTCATTCTGCTTTTGTTTGCTCTAGAAAATCATCAGGTAGTGACTATGGGCTATTTCAGTAGTTTTCCAGGACAGCTGTTCCTGAAAGCAGGAGGACTAACTAAACTACAATTCTGGGACAACAAGAGTTGTCAAAAGGGTTTTCTTGTTCCAAGCAGGTTTGACTTTCTGCATAACACCTAGTCTCTTAAACAAGAAAAATACATCCTAGCAAAGAATTTTACTTTTATAAATCTCATTGTTTAACCCCAGCCAGCAACTAAGCCCCACCCAGCCACTCGCTCACTCCCCCCCAGTGGGAAGGGGGAGAGAATCGGAAGGGTAGAAGTGAGAAAACTCATGGGTTGAGGTAAAGACAGTTTAATAGGTAAAGCAAAAGCTGCATGCACAAGTGAAGCAAAACAAGGAATTCATTCACTCCTTCCCATCGGCAGGCAGGTGTTCAGCCATCTCCAGGAAAGCAGGGCTCCATCACGCATAACGGTTACTTGGGAAGGCAAACGCCATCACTCCAAACGTCCCCCCTTCCTCCTTCTTCCCCCAGCTTTAT